GGGGAGTAGATAGAGGGATGGTTGGGTTGTGAAAAGAATAAGGCTTTTGTAATCAGATAAATCTGGATTTGAAAATGATGCTGCCCTTTATTTAACCCTGAGACATATACCTAAACTCTATTGCTGTTTCCAAGCTATACTAGACTATGAACTCTGAGAAGGCCAGGACATTTATCTTTCATTCTCTACTGCATTCCTAATGTCTAGAATAGTATCTGACAGATAGTAGATGTTCAGTGAATATTTATTGCCTGAATTTATAAACCACAAATGTTAACTTTAAACCTATTTTGTTAGAGGATAATGAGTGAATTAATCGAGATAACATTTCACATGACTGGCACATAATAGGTATGCTTCCCTCCCCTTTCCCCCTACTAAATTTACCTCATGAGCATTGAAGAAGGCACACATAACTGAGAGTTGGGATATGTGGATTATTTTCCCAGTTACTGAGTAGTTGTGAGGTCTTGGGTCAAGTACCTTCCCTCTCTAAGATTCAGTTTTTGCAATGTATAAAACGGTTGGTATTCAAACATTTTCGTGTGGGAGATAGGGAGAATGCAAGGTAAGCAAAAATCCTCTTCCAAAATCTTAAGCAACAGCTCAACATATAAAGCAAAAATCAAGGTGCTCTGGATAAATCAAAGATGGGAGATCTAAATTCCTGCTTACCCCTGCCCAGGTCCTCCCCTTGAGCTACTGCCATGGTAAACCAAATGCTCTAAGGCAGAGGGCTACAAACCTTTTCTGTAAAGGGCCAAATAATAAATATTTTAGAGTTTGCAGGTCATACGGTCTCTGTCACAACTATTCAACTCTGACTTTGTATCATGAAGGCAGAATGTGCATGGCTATGTTCTAATAAAACTTTATATATAATAATAGAATTTGAATTTCATATAATTTCATGTATGTCTGTCACAAAATATTCTTCTTTCAAATTTTCCCAACCATTTAAAAATGTAAAAAACATTTGTAATGTTTTTTATTGATTTTTATAGAGAGGAAGGGGGAGAGAGAAAGAGATAGAAACACACCCCTTGCTGGGGATTGAGCCTGCATCCCGGGCATGTGCCCTGATGGGGAATCCAACCGTAACCTCCTGGCTCATGGGTTGACACTCAGCCACTGAGCCACACTGGCTGGGCCATCTTTATCTAACTTGTGGGCTGAATTTGACCAGTAGACTGTAGTTTGCTGACCTGATCTAAGGAGTTGGGCTAAATTATCACCAAGGTCATCCCGTTTGGACATTACAACTGAGGCAGTCCAGAAGCAACATGAGCAATGTAGAGAATAAAGCCTGAAACTATATTGTTGCAGTGGAATTCCAGAAAGTACATAGCAGGGTGGATCAGGTCTGCTCTAAATTAGAAAGATACCCCAAAAAGGAAAAGGCTCATGTTCTGCTCCTACCCTTCATTTCCCCAGACTAAACTGCATTTTAAAATACTTTGTAGATCTCTGTTATTCATAACAGAATCAAATCAACTGTTAAACTTAACAGTTGGTCATTCTATCTTGCCTATACAGAGATTTCTACCAACTCAAATACTGTGACTTTTATGAAGGTCACTTGAAATTTGGCATGGAATTTAGTTCAATATTTAATATTCTTCTCCAAAGCATTGGCATATAAAGTGGAGCAATAGGAGTGGACAACACTTAGTGCAGGCAAAGAAGGAGCACACTATCTTTAGATAATTTTTTTAAAAAACTAAAAGTCAAAGTATTTTTTATATCACCATGGACCAAAAATTTTAAACATCGATAGTAAAATACTCTTCCCTGACAAAATATTTTGTTGGTCAAAGTTCTAAACAATTGTTACTACTGAGTTTTAATAATCTATATAAAGTTTCAAATTAGCACCATTTATTACTTTTTTAAAATATATTTTATTGACTTTTTACAGAGAGGAAGGGAGAGAGATAGAGTTAGAAACATCGATGAGAGAGAAACATTGATCAGCTGCCTCCTGCACATCTCCTACTGGGGATGTGCCCGCAACCCAGGTACATGCCCTTGACCGGAATCGAACCTGGGACCTTTCAGTCCCCAGGCCGATGCTCTATCCACTGAGCCAAACCGGTTTCGGCATATTACTTATCTTTTAATAATATTGTATTATATATAGAAGTCTAATTCAGAGAACTTTCAGTTATATAGTTGCGCCCCTACCCAACACATAAAGACTTTACACGTGTTTCCGCTTTGTAAATGTTTAGAATCATTCCTGGCAGATGATTTTGGTGCATTTCTTTCTTTTTATTGAGAGAGAGAGAGAGAGAGAAGAAGAAGAAGAAGAAGGAGAAGGAGAAGGAGGAGGAGAAGGAGAAGGAGAAGGAGGAGGAGAAGGAGAAGGAGAAGGAGGAGGAGAAGGAGAAGGAGAAGGAGGAGGAGAAGGAGAAGGAGAAGGAGGAGGAGAAGGAGAAGGAGAAGGAGGAGGAGAAGGAGAAGGAGAAGGAGGAGGAGAAGGAGAAGGAGAAGGAGGAGGAGAAGGAGAAGGAGAAGGAGGAGGAGAAGGAGAAGGAGAAGGAGGAGGAGAAGGAGAAGGAGAAGGAGGAGGAGAAGGAGAAGGAGAAGGAGGAGGAGAAGGAGAAGGCGAAGGCGAAGGAGAAAGAAGAAGAAAGGAGGAGGAGGAGAAGAAGGAGGAGGAGGAGAAGGCGGAGGAGGGGGAGGGAGACATTGCTTTGTTGTTCCAGTTATTTATGCATTCATTGGTTGATTTTTGTATGTGCCCTGACTGAGGATCAAAGCCCAAACATTGGTATTTCTAGAGGATGCTCTAAGCAACTGAGCTATCTGACCAGGGACTTTGGGTGCATTTCTTGTCTGCAATTCTTCTAGTGCTATATTACAGCATTTAAATAGTAGCTTCAAAGTAAACAATGGTAGCCACAGCGATTGTTAAGCTAAAGGAACAGAATGTATGTTATTCAATTCTCTTTTTTATGTGACAAATTGAAGTTTTTGTTTGTGCTTAAAATCTAAAACAGCAAAAACAATATAAACTATGGTATACTATGTTTGTTCAGGAATTACACATTTTAGATCATATTATATTAATGAATTTGTTTTTTAAATTGAAATTTGGTCTCCTTTTTCATTGTTAGCTATTTGAAAATTTAAAAAAATCAAGAAAATAAGTACTAATGCTGGTTATTACTGAATTTTTTTAATATAGAGAAAGTTCTGAAAATGATACATTCCAGATTTCACACATGTTAAGTATACCATATCCAGAATCCTAGAAAGCAAGGAACTGGTTCATTGGTAATCCACATAGACCCAACCGTCAATTAGCCCTACCACTGGCCAGAAGCCTGAAGCAGATAATTTGATTATTGACTTAGATATGAAACACCTTTTAATGAATCCACTCACTGTGTTCATTCTAGCCCCACACTCAAAACATCTGAGAATCAGATAAATTGTCAGAAAGGAGAAAGACCCAGACCCAGCTGACAGAAATATCAGGATTGGCATATTTTATTTTTTAAAGCAAACTTCGTGGCATTAGTTCATCCTTAAGGAAGTCCTTTTCCAAGATCATGACTCTGTTCTTTTCTGACTCTCTCAGCACCATTTGAACTAATGATTCTGTGGAGCAGTGGGGAGGGGCAGTGACAAGTCAGGAGACTAAGCTTTGCCTTCATGGAGCTGTGGGACTCTGTGTGAGTCCCTCTCACTCTCTGGGTCTCAGATTTCCTGTACGGATGACAAGGACTTGAAGGTCTTCTCATGCTCTGATCTTTTCTGGGTCTACAAACATTTA